TGAGGATTCCGGGACTAAAGGTTTCTCTTTAAACGTAGTCCCTTCATCAGCTGGTTTGGATGAAGTAGCCTCAGCAGAGGATGATGGAGCAGGAGCTGCCAACACCAAAGCCTTCAGAGGAGAGGCTGAACTTTTCTAAGAAATCCAAATAAACCATCAGCACATAGAAAAGTTTCAAGTATAGAAAGGCATGCTTGTAGTAAACTAATTTAATTACCTTTCTCCTGACGATAAGAGGAGTGTCATCATCATCATCATCCTCCAAAATGGGATATGCTGAGGCTGGCCGTTTGCCGCTTGGGGCACTTTTAGCTGCAGTGGGCTTGGTAGGAAGAGAAGTAGATGGATGAACAGACTATTTAGCATGAGTATGGGAGGAAGGACTCCTAATGGACATAGGGGTGACCAAAACAGGAGAAGTGGAAGAAATGTTTGGCTGATCCAATGAATGGAAAGCACGATTGGCATCAGTTGCAAACAATATGCGCTTCACTAATGGCCAGAGTTGTTCAAAAAGGGGATGGATGGCATGGCTAGGATTGAAGGGGGCTAATGAAAAGTTACTCATCAAAAGAATATTGCGAGCATCTATAGCTTCTGCCTCTGCCTTATTAATGGTGTGGAAGCGATCTATCAAATTTCTTGAATAGCAAATGGGAACAGGCCAAGTTTGGCCAAAACCAAGTTGACGAGCAAAAAATTGGGGAGCATAAATTTCAACCCCAGCTTTGGCATTGGTTCCAGTCAAAATATCATGAAACAACTCCCTCCCTGTCAAAAACTGAACCCGAACGAGCAGAGAGGTGCTCGCACTGTCCAGGGTGAATGGGGATTGCACATAATCTGGAGTTAAAAAGGGAGGAAAATGAAAGAAAGAAGGAATTGAATTCAAAGTATAAAAGAATGAAAAGATGTCCCTTCTGGACATATTTACAGGGCTCAGTGGGTCAATAGCTAGCCCATTGCAGCTAGCAGAATGAAGGGATAAGAATAGAGCACCAAGTGATGAAAAATAGGCTCTAGATTTGAGTGAACCAAAGAGGCCCACTGTCAGTGGGAGATGCACCATTCTTCAATTGGAATTGGAGAGAAGCCATGCCTCTATAGAGGGCAGCCAAAAAGAAAGAACACAAATTCAGAGGCCTACCACGCGCCAATTCGTGCGCTATGAGTAAATAGCTCATAGAAGGCTTTATGCTTGGCACACATAGAATATATTTACAAAGCCAAATTTGAAGAAAGGCCACACGCTCAGCATGGGAAGGCTCAGCGCTCGAGTGATTATAACAGCTTTGCAGGCTTGAATAAGACTCGGTGAGTTTTTTGTCAAAATTTGGGACGACGCCAGAAATCAAAATACCAGGAAAAATGGTATCGCCCAAAGGTGGCAGATTTACTAAGGCCCCAACATCCCTTAAAGTAATGGACATTGGACCAAGAGGAAAAACAAAAGTATTATACTTAGAGGACCAAAAACTTAAAACAATAGGGAAAAGCGTTGGATCAAAAATAGGGGGTTGAAGAGAGATTTCTAACAAATCAGAAATCCTAGCACTATCAAAAATTGCCCTGGTAGGACCATGGCCCACAAGGCGAGCATGCCATCTACGGAAAATAATATCAGATTTAGGCCAAGTGCGAATATCTCTTTCGTGAAGTGGCCTCAGCGGCAAAGAGTTCAGAAACGGAGGGCCTTGAGTACAAGGGGACAGCTGGCCCACCGTCACTTGTTCGACAGCCTCGGTGTTGTTGAATGAAGGACCTAGATAGAACTTATTGAGTTCGGCATTGGCTGGTGCAAGGAAGTTCGGAGTTATATATGGCCGAGTGAGGATTTTCTAGAAGTCTTCGAAACTAAAAGAGTCACCAGATTGGGTTTGTGAAGCAGCCATTGGGAACGAAATAAAGTTTTGTTGAAATTTGCTTGAGAAACGTAGCAGAGAAGCAAGAAGATGAACAATAATATTGCGAGAGAGAAGAGCGAAACAATGAGCCGTGATTTAGTGGTGCGATGAAATGGCGTGTATTTGGGGGTTATAAGGGTTTGCAACGTCATTCCTTTTCAGGCTATGGAAGAAAATAATGATTAAAATTCTTGAGAATTTCAAATGTTGCTGGGAAACACAAAGTGAATATGGCAAAAATTAATAATTGGTATTAATTCTGTCATATTGGGGGGTAATTGTTGACACGCTAAAAGTGCAGCCCAAATCGAATAGCCCAAAGAATGAAGCTCAACTGGGCAATTTAGGATAAAGGCCCAAATAGGGTTATTAACGAATGCAGTGGAAGCCCACGAACGCGGTGACACCATCGCCCAAACTTGCAAGACGCCCAAGATCTGAGCGAATGAAGTGCCTTGCAGTCGCCCAGGATTATGACCCTGTTCTCACCCAAACCTTCGAATCGCCCAGGATCTTAGCAAACAGAAGATGTTATGGTTATCCAAGAGTGCAGTTATCGAAGCAGTTATTAAGTAATCTTATCACGTTCCACGATTCAAGGATGTTCAGTTGAAGACGGTTGAACGACAAAGAGTAGTGGTAGCAGTTAGAGACGGCAATTCCACGATAAGTTGGCCACTATGAAGAAAGTGGGCAGTTATAAAGTAATTAAGCAGTTTCTAAGCTGTTGATCACGAAGAGATTATCAAGGGAATATAAAAGGAAGAAAAGACATAGAGCAAAGGACCCCGAATCAAACACTCTCAAACAGAGAATATGTAATTTCAATTTCTTAGTTTAGACTTAAACATTTCTTTTCAGTACTCGTGTGCCTGCGCTCCTTGGAAGCATTCTGTTTAGTTACAATTGTAAAGTCATCGCCAATAAAACACCCTTTTTTGGAATTTTGTCTAAAGAGGTTTGTTCCTTATATAATCGTCTGATCCTTTTTTAATTGTTAGCGACTACCCATGCGAAACAGAAGGACTATGTGACCAGGATGAAGGAAGGAAAGAATGATATCCACTACATCACTGGTGAGAGCAGGAAGGCTGTTGAGAACTCTCCTTTCCTAGAGAAACTGAAGAAGAAGGGCTATGAAGTCCTCTATATGGTTGATGCTATCAACGAGTATGCTGTTGGCCAGTTGAAAGAATTCGAGGGTAAGAAACTTGTTTCTGCTACCAAGGAAGGTCTCAAGCTTGATGAAAGTGAGGATGAGAAAAATAGAAAGGAAGAATTGAAGAAGCAATTCGAGGGTCTGTGCAAGGTAATCAAGGATGTCCTCGGGGATAAGGTCGAGAAGGTGGTGGTGTCCGATAGAGTGGTCGACTTTCCGTGCTGTTTGGTGACGGGAGAATATGGCTGGACTGCTAATGTGGAGAGGATTATGAAGGCATAAGCTATAAGGGACTCGAGCATGGCTGGATACACGTCCAGCAAGAAGACAATGGAAATCAACCCCGAGAACCCCATCATGGATGAGCTTAGGAAGAGAGCCGATGCTGACAAGAACGACAAGTCCGTAAAGGACTTGGTTATGTTGCTATTTGAGACTGCCCTCCTCACCTCTGGGTTCAGCCTTGATGACCCCAACACTTTTGGCAATAGGATTCACAGAATGCTGAAACTTGGTCTCAGCATTGACGAAGATGCTGGTGAAGCTGATGTTGACATGCCACCTTTGGAGGATGCCGATGCTGATGCGGATGGTAGCAAGATGGAGGAAGTTGACTAAATCTGAAGCTGTTTCCTGCTTGAGTCTTGTTATTTTCACACTTTAGATTAGGTTTAAGACGTTACAATTTTAAATGCTTTTTTGTGAAAGTATGGGTGCTTTAATCTGATGGCTGGGTACTGTTATGCGTTAGTTTCGTTTATACACAATAGTTTGTTCATTTTTACTTTCTGCCCCGTGTAAACTAGCGAGTTAGTAAATTAATTTTTGTCATTTTTGACCTTTACCTCAATGGACCGCTGGTATTTTTATTTATGTCATTTTTGGGCTTTACCTTTAGTCCTTGTTTGATTTGGTAAAAAGCGCCCATTAAAATTTTGGTTATATATTTTATGGGATTCACAACTTTCAAAACATATTTTCATAAATTTATGTCAATATTTATTAAAAACTTAATTTTTATTTAAAATTCAAAGCAAATGAGCGTTTACTACATGCCTACATCGCTATTAGTCGAAGCGTTTTCAAAGTACGTCGATTAACAAAGTTTAATAAGCAATCGCATCTAATTGTAGTCTTGAAAGCACAAGTTTTGCTGAAATAAGACTTGCCTGTTGAAAATCTTCATCTTGCTAGCACAACACTGGACAATACTTGATTAGAATCATAGTGGGTCCTCAATTTTCCAAATGAAGTCTGTTGACTTAAAAATTCTTAAAGAGTTTTGAAGTGCTACAAATCTAGTGCCATGTTCTTGTCTATTTATATGTTTCGTTCACATTTGACAAACATTGTTAGGCAATCTAACAATAGGGTCGACGATCATTGGTGTTTTGATGATCAAGAGTTTAGAGAGCGTATACCTTTGCTATATAGAGGAAGCATCCTTATGGAACGAGACCACGGTATTGTTGCACAAATTACACATGTCGTGCTAGCATTGTTCCGTAGAGTTATGGTACATTCCATTTAAAAATTTTGTCTCCTCATGTATTTGATTCTCCAAGATTTTCCTTGATCCTTAAGGATTTCGTATTAATTGTAAGACAGTTTCCTCGTTAAAAACTTTTGAGAACGTCAAGGTTGCCCTATTATGTGAAAGCCTGGATTGAAATGCCACATATGCCTTCGTCTGACGACTCCCAAAATGCTTATGGCTTAACATCCAGCCGCTAGGCATTCAACCGGTGGGAGAGGACTCCATCGAGATGCGTGTGAACTGGATACCTTTGCTTGAGAGTGAAGAAATCATAAGAGTTGCCACATGGCGAATTATTGAGCGCTTATGTGGCCTTCGTTGCAACGTTGGAACATACATGGAGGCTTAGCTGATTTCGGGGATTTAAAAAAGTCAAATAACAGAAATTACCCGAAAAAAATTAGCACGAAAATATTGTTACCATATTCTAACTAAACTCTCAAAATCTTTGCTCTCGAAGGAGTCTGGAACTAAGATGTGTAAGTTGATACAGATTTAAATGTAGTATCCAATCAACTCATCCATATCCACTAGGCTTACATTCATAAAAGTAGACAAATAATTCAGCAAATGAGGTACAGACAATAATAGATTTATATTAGTCTCTCATCTCCTCCTTTCCTCCCGGTAAGGTCCTTCACTCTCTTGATCCTTTAAGAATCCAAGGAAAGCAAGAAAACCGAAAAAGAAGAACCCCCCTGACCAATGGCCGCCGCCGCCACCGCCGCCACCCCCACCATCACCATCATCACGAGGCGGAAATCCTGTTCCACCATCATCGAGTTCTGGAGATTTTTCCTTTCCTGAAAGCCATGTAAACAGGTGATGTACCAAAATTTGCAGAAAAAAGCCATTTTGTGGTCCAAATGAGGCTCGAATTGAGAAGAAAACAATAGAAATAAACTGATAATATGATCAAGTTCTTCTCTCCATATATCCGGACAAAGATTTTAGATGAAACAAAACATAAATTTATTGATGAATGACATTGAGAGTAAGCTATATATGGGTTGGCAATTGAACTCGTTGGCTTGGCCCGGAAAAAACCCCAGCCGGCCCCTGCCTAAAGCCTAAAAAAGGCAGCATGAAAGGGAGGGGGGAAAAAAGCCGAGCCTAGATTTCCTGGCCAAGCAAAAGCTCGGTTCGGCTTGGCTCCGGCTCGGAAAAAAGCTCGGACCATGTTACTTGAGCCAAGTCGGCTCAGCTCGACTCGTTGACACCACTGGCAATAGTGCACAAACAGCTGACAAATCCAAAGCTATTGGGAGAAGATAATTAATACCTTGAATAGGTGCAACAGTAATGGTTGATGATTGTCGTGTAACTGTTTGTGTTTGCTCTGCAGCGCAAGTTGCATTCTGTCATAAAAAAAAAGCTAATCAGAACTTGAATACTTTTGATCGGCCAAAATTCAGATGATGAAAAATTCAAAAATAAAAAATTTCTCAAATTTTTAGAATGTCAGGTAATTTCTGGAACCAGACAATGATTCCACGTATCTTTTCATGAGGCAACCATGGAATAATTTGTGTAGCTAATATTATTACTGCTTGCCATAAAGGGAGACCGAAACAATAATGCAAAAACAACTCAGAGACAATTCTTTGCCAGAACTCGCTTAGCTTAACAAGATTGATATGTCAATACCTCCTGAGAGAGAACTAATTCCACATCTAGAGAATGTTTGGCCAATGTTTAGACGTAAAAGTAGCTAGCTATATTTTTGTTTTCAAATATGTTTGGGTAAGTAACAATTTTCTCACTTTTACTCTGAAAATAATCAGTCACTCATTTCCAAATTTGATCAATAAAAATTATTATTTCAAAGTTCAATTATTTACTTATAAGTAACTTATAAGCCTAGCAAAACATGCTCAGAAAAGAATAAAATTCAATATTTACTGCAAGTTGAAGGATTACTAAAGAAGCAATGCCATTTGTCAAGTTGTAGGACAGGCAATCCCTCTCACACATGATACCAATCAGTAGCAAATTGCAAGTTAAGTTATTCTCTTAAATACATAAGTATGATAAATTACCAGAGCAGCAGAACATGTTATAGAAGCAAGCTGTACTCGAAAAGCTTGCATTGTATTTCTTCTTCTTTTGAAGGGATGAAGCTGCAAGCACAGTGGCTTCAACCCAACTGGGCCAGATCCTACATGTTTGATTTCCTTCAGACATTGATCTTCCAATCTCACTGTGGCAACAAAACCAATCTATTTTAGCGTCCAGCGCAAATTATTACGAAAACATGTCAAAGTGTCACCTTCCACAACAACAACAACAAAAAAGAATGATGTTAAGAGGAATAACATTTGAGTATAAAACTTCAAGCGATGTGCATTCTCAGATTGCTAATTTCACAATCTTGATGTTCTTGTGTACTTAGATTCAGAACAAAGGATAAAACATCATGTTTGCAATACATTTCGCCCTTCTGAATGATCTTGTAAAGGCACAACCACTTGCAAAGCAAATGAGTTTGTCTATTCGCACCATCATGAATAGCATTCAACCAACAACTTCAAGTTCTGCACTTAAAATTGCAATATAGTTGCACCAATATCTATCCAACAAAAATTAAACTGTATCACTTGCACGGGCTTCCACAGAGATACAAATTGAAAACACCACACTCTATGTACCAACAATTTAAATAAAATTTAGTACCGTTCCACTGTAAAATAGTGATGAACTGAATCATGCGCAACACAACATGATTCCATAGCCCAGATATATTTATCTCAAATTAATTAAAATACACATGTATATCAATATATGTATCGCGTATGCTTATCTCGAATAGTGAGATAATGGAAGATTAAAATCCATATACCAACAGATAATGCTGTAGCCGGACAAACAGTAGCACTAGTACTTAATGACATCTTGCGCGAGTTAATTACACCGCCTGAAAACAGAACATACTTTTGATCATGAGAAAGAAAGAAAAATGCTTTTTATTACATTTTCAATACAAACAAAAAGATCAGTAACGATGAAGCTCTAAGTTGATAAATCAAGTGTAGATGTTGCATATTTACTAGAATTTCACATCGGAGCAAATTATATTTTCTTTTTAATGAAACTGAGGGCATTTTTCTAATAATAAAAAAGGGAGAGGGAGTGCATTGTCAGCTGTTATACGACCAGTAATATATATGAGAAATTTTTTGCTCATGAAAAGTAGATTTATGTCTGATAGAAACTAAAAGCTTCTTTAAACCAATCAAACCTAAAAAAGGAATGCCATCAAATTAGTATTATGTCCTAATTCAAAGTTTTCAATCCCATAAGCTGTCATTTTTCCATTTTCTTTCTACAAACCAACCTATCCGAAAAATCATTAGCCGATGAACATGGTTCAAGTGGTGCTCATGGATCTAGAATGAATAAATTAGAAAGCAACAACTTATGTGGCTTAACATATCCAGCGTATGTCTAACTAAAACCCCATTTCTTCTAGTTAGCAGAGTAGAGATTGGCCAGATAAACATATGATTGCAGATAATTTGATTGCATTAGTAGAGCACGATATTTTTCATTGTCCTAATTCAAAGTCTTCCAAATAATTATGAAAAACAAACACAAGTTTTCCAAAACCATCACGTCATAAATTGAAGCATCCCATTAACCTGCACCAAAATGACCTATTTTTCAATTCAAATGACCAAAAATTGGGGTAAATTCGGCTCGAATAATTAATTTTGAAGGCTAGAGAAATTAACACAAAAACATTAAAAAAAAAATCTTAACAGAAGAACAATTGAATTGCGAATCTTGACAGTACCTGGAATTGCACAGAATAGCGGAGTAGGGAACAGGACAGGACGGTGGGATACTCGGAGGACGAAACGATTGAGGAAGAGAGAAAGAAGGGAAACGAAGGGAAGAAGAGGAATAAAGAATGCTTATCAGTCCAGCGTGCTTAGCACGTGATTTTATTTTATTTTTTATGTTTCTTTAACTAAACCGACCTAATTTACAAATTAAAAATAATTATTTTGACAAAGTCAAATTAAAAAAAGTGCTACAATTCATCACCTTTCCTGTTTTTGTGCTATCTGAATCAATTTCCAAATATAGCTTTGCCTAAAGCAATGTGAAATGAGAATCCAGCCCACTTAAATGAAAATCGAGAACACAATGCTGACAATAGAACGGTGTCGTTTTTTCGTCAAACCGACAATGTTAAATTGGTTAAACTTGGAATGAGTCTTTATTTTCTGCCCCACTCTCTCTGTTCCCTCTTTCTACAAAAATAGGGAAACCTAAGGTAGTTGAAATCCTCATCTATTTCTATATTATTGAATTTCTTTTTGATGTTTTTACGTACAAAAAGACTCTATTTCTTCGGATATTGAGTATTCTAATTGATTCTGTATTAACTGCAGAATAAAATTGAATTTTCAGCGATCTAGGGGTATAATATGACGACCGCAGCCAGACCCACATGGGCACCTGCCAAAGGAGGGAATGAACAAGGGGGAACTCGAATTTTCGGTCCATCCCAAAAGTATTCTTCCAGGGATATTGCCTCTCACACTACCTTGAAACCTAGGTTCGTTTTGTTTCCTTTTCATTTCAATTTTCACTGGCTTTACGTTAGTTAGTTTTCTCTTATGTTATATATATTCGTGGGATTTGTGTTTTCTTAATCGTTAATTCTTCTTTAACATTTTGTTGATGGTTTAGTGTAAATTAGTATTTTGTGGTTAATGAGGCTGTTTCTTATGTTGTCTACTAACCACGAGATATGAATTTTCTTCCATTTGATCATGTCGAGATTAAATAAATAACTTCTAAAGAATAAATTGTGGGAAAGTACGGTGATGTTAGTTTTTGCTGTCATTGTTAAGCTTTGTGCGTCTTTTCCAGAATGTATAACAGGGTTTGCTTTAGATATTAACTGAAAAGTAGAATGGATGACTTTAAACTGATTAAATGATTCTCTTGTAGCTTCCCACATTTGGCCTTACTTATCTAGATTTCCATCCTGCTGAGTTGGATTCTACCCCCTGACTGACAGGTTATTGTTTGTTCTAAACTAGAAAATGGTTTCGATATGGCTTTTAAAATCTCAATAGAAACTCTCTCTCTCTCACTCACATATCTTACCTTGGGGAAATTTTGGAAGAACTTCTATGGACTGCACCCCATAGCTATCCATTAATGGCTTTACAGTGTAGAATTTTTCATTTAATACTGTGCATGGTTTTAAAAGGCGCCACTGAGGCGCATCAACTGTGCCTTGAGGCTGAATTTATTATATTTCTTCAACGAGGCAGATGCCTCAATGCCATGAGGCGTGAAGCGTGTCCTTTGTTTTGCTGTGACCTTTGAGGTTTTTTCCCCCGTTATTTCCTTCTTTAAAGCCTGAGCCGTGAGTTTCATCTACTGAAGAGGATTTTATTACTGGATCATTAAATATCCTAAATCACCCAGTTACTGAACTTTCATTATCCCTTACTGCCTTTTAAAACTTTGACATTCTAATTGAGTCCACAAGAAGAAGAGGGTTATATAATGAGAAATTTATGGTGCTTTCCTTTTTGTGGTTTCCTATTCAAAACATATCGTGTTGTTTCATGAATGGGCTTCCTGAAAAGGAAAATTTGTATTTTGTCGAGTTCTGGCTGGCTATATTTGCGCACACGCATGACACACATTGCTGTTTATATTACTTTTGCATCAATAGTATAATTTGATTTAAGGTCACCTATTCTGAGTTTTTTGTTGTGAAACATCCGCTTTGAATGTTATAACCTTTTATTTTCTCGCCTTAGTCCAAGATGATTATAATTTTATTTATCTATTTTTATTTTATTAGTTTCTATATATTACTTGTGCTTATTTTGTGGCAATGTCTGTTTGTATTTAATCTTTATTGCCATCCATTGATATACAGAAAGGAAGGACAAGACACACAAGATGAGCTGCAGAGGAGGAACCTTAGAGATGAATTGGAGGAGCGGGAGAGGAGACATTTTTCATCCAGGGGTAGGAATTCTTGTCTTGATCCAGAGTTCATTTGTTAATTTTGTATGTATGACACATATATTTTATGTTGCAGAGGACAGAGATCGCAGAAAAGGAGGTCACCTTCTTCTAGAAGGTAAATGGTACCTGCTTGATTCACTTGTGGAATGAAACTACTTGGAATTAGTTCTTTCTTGCACTTTTTGATCAGCTAACAACATCTTTGTTTACAGGTTCTAAGAGAGAAGTTGAAGATCGTATTGTTCCACGTAATGTGGATGCAGATGATGCCGATGTAGATGTCAAAAGTGATGATAGGTTTGCATTATTTCCCATTTTCGTTTTCTAATGTCACTGCCAACTGTACATTCCACATACACAACTTGATTGGATGATGAGTTGCATAGTGTTTATATTTTCTCTGTTCATTAATTTTTTTGATACATGGGTTCGCTGAAAAATTGTTTACCATGTGGCTAGTGAGGACGACGATGATGACGATGAAGATGATGATGAAGAAGCACTTTTGGCTGAACTTGAACTTATAAGGAAGGAAAAAGCTGAGCAGAAACTACGGGAAGTAAGTTGTTCAATACTAAAGTTTCTCATAGCTTGTTTATGTTTTTGAGTTCTCATTCATGTGTTTTTTAACAACGCCTGGTGAAGTTAATTGAGATTTTTTGTATTCTTCTTTGAGAAGTTTGAATGATGTCTTAGTGTCCAAATGTTGACACCATGCCTTGGCTTTGCCATTAAAATGATATTTGGGTTGACTTAAAAAATTTAAACGACATTTGACAATTTCGATTAATATATGGCCGTTCCCTTTTTCCTTAATGATGTGTTTTGTGCTTCTGGCAGGAACGAGAGAAGCAAGAAGAAGAGCTGCAAGCCAAAGAGGCAGAATTGTTGCGTGGAAATCCTCTGCTTAATAACCCAACTTCCTTTAGTGTAAAGAGAAGGTAGTGTGCTCTCATCTTTTGTCCCTACATGCTATTTTATTTATATTGTATTGAACTGTTACCAAAAACTTGTCCGAACAGGTGGGACGATGATGTGGTTTTCAAGAACCAGGCCCGTGGCGAGACCAAGATTGCAAAACGCTTTATCAATGATACCATCAGAAATGATTTCCATAGGAAATTCCTCCAAAAGTACATGAAATAACATGACTATTTGAGTAAGATACTAAGAAACCAAGAGATGTGAGCATAAGATGTAATGAACAGAAGTCTGATTGTTGTTTCCTTGCAGAAAAGTTTGAGGTTTAATGTTCATTTAGTTGGATTGTCTCTGTTCGGTATGATAGATTGTTGTGTAAACGTACAATTGATTTTCACAACATTGTACTCCATCTTTCTTCCTTGAAAACATTTGATCTATTACAACATATTTATTATCAAACATACGCTCATCAAATATTGTAGATGCTTATTTTTCTGCGAAGACAAATGTATGCTAAGAAACGATAAGCTAAAGCCATGGCTAATAGCACCCAAAATTCTTCTAGTCCACCATTCAAACTCACTGTGTCAAATGAAGGTGAACTCTGCAAACTCCGGCAGCCGCCATGGCTATTGCATTCGTATAATTCATCGCTTGAATATTGCACCTTCAATAGAAGCCTAAAGCCATAGTAGGTGAAAGATGCGTACTTGATCCACTGCATAAATTTTGGTATGTGCTGCAGTAAAAGCATCTCATAGTTAGATCTGAACTCAAAATGTTTATCATGAAGGCCTTGTTTTCTGGAAATTTAAGACATTTTTAGTACATGTTCTTGCTTCCCAAAATATTTTGGGAAGTGTTAAAAGATACAATGTTAAAAAGATGGATGTGTGGTCATACTGAGGTAAAGAAATAGAATCGTAGCACCTATCAAGTATCAAGGATAAATTAAGGAAACAACAACTTGTGTTTTGCGTAAACCTAAAGAGGCTATTGCTTTTAAGAATGATGCGATCTCAATACAACATGTTAGAAGAGACAAGCGGAGGCCAGAACTTGTATAAAGTTTTGTGGATCTAATTGTTATGGATCCTCGAGTAGAACTAGCAATGAATGAACAAGTCGTGAAAAATAATTTATGTAATCAATTCAAATTTATCAAGAGCAAAACTCCATTTGATGTTTCTTTTGTTGTATATATGCTCTTGCAATTTTAATACCTGAACATAGTATCCTCCAGTGAGAAGAAATAACATCAATATCAGAGAAGCAATCATCCCAGCCCTTTTGATGCTCATTACTGCAGCTCCAAAAAATTCTCCTGCACCCTAAATGCACAAAATGGATCAACTAAATTTAGCGAATATACTAGGGATTAGTTGTCGCTCCAATAGTTATACGACAGGTACGCCGTTTTATCAGATAACTACGAACTTGGAGCTTTTTTAACTTACTTGACTGGTAATGGTGATCAATAGTATTGCAGCCAGTGTCATGAAGAAACATTCCACTGTCCTCTTGAATCCAGACATGAAATACAAAATACACATGAAACACATGGGATATAAAACATGAGCAACCATGTCACATAGAGTGCTGCTAACATAGTACACACTCAATCTGTACATGTCCGTCTTCCTTTCTTTCACCAAGTATATCTTCTCAAACGGAAATACGTATACTGCTCCAAATATCGACGAAGAAGTCCAGAAAATGCAAATGTAGAACAATAAACCAATCTGCAATTTAGCGTAAACAATGTTGTTTTTAGATACTTCGGACAGTTGCAGAATACGTATCGAGGAAAGATGGGAAAGTTAAGATGTGTGCGGATTACCTGATCTCTGAGTTGAGCCTCGGTTTTAATATTCGATTTCCACCAGAGAAGGCCTAATAAGACAGCAACTCCGAGTGCTTGAATGAGTCTTATTTGATCAAAGTAATCTCTCCATCTTTCTTTGAATGTTCTCTTGCACAATATCGTAAATTGTTCCCACCAAGTTAGAGTCCAGTCCTTCTTAACTTGAATGGCTAACTGAAGGCGCTCCGATGCCTTTGATCTCTGATGATTCTCTTGCTTTTCTTTGGGTTCGAGTTCGACTTTGTATTTATGCTGTAAGTACTAGTTGAAAAAGACATATATATTCAAATAGAGCGTCTTAGAAATCAGTTTGAAAAAATGTTTATTTATTTAAATTTTGTCTTCAACAACACATTTGAAGTATCAAGAAAGGAGTGCTTACTCTTATTATAACTCTTTCATATTCAGCAGTTCCTTTAGATATAAGTAATTCTTCAGGGACACTTATGTCATTTACTTGTCCTGTTGCCAAATCCAGCAAGAATTCTGCAGGATTCATGGCTATCTCCGGGATGAACCGTAAAGAAGAAAAGTACTGCATCGACTCTCGGGCTTTTCCATAATAGACAGGATAACCTTCCGATATTAACAGAACCCTGTCAAACATGTGAAACATCCTGCTTGAAGGCTGGTGGATTGTTGTAATAATTGTCCTTCCTGCCTATGAAGACATAAAATGTATATCCTTTAGAATCCGTCCTTCGAGGTACATTAAGTGCCTTTTTGTAAGTAGTACTCAATAGGGTGTACAGTTTAATGAACCAGATTTGAATTTTTTTCTTAATGGTATCCAGTACTGTCAAATCATCTTTACTATGCATGAAGATTTTGATGGTGAATTGTGTACCTTGGCAAGACCTTGAAGTATTTGAAGTAGTTTATTTGCAGAAGTCGAATCAAGCCCTGAAGTTGGTTCATCGAGGAATAGTAACGAAGGATCGACGAGAATTTCATAACCTATGCTGGTTCTTTTCCTTTCTCCCCCGGATACGCCTTTAACAAACCCTCCACCAATTCGTGTATGACGACACCTATATGGTTGTTGAATCCAGACAAACATGATCATACGAATCATTCCAATTTAAATGACGATCATAAATAATCTGAAGTCTGAACATACCTTTCGAGGCCTAATTCCCTAACAATCATCTCAACTCGTTCATACTTTTGGCGCCGGCTCATTCTGCTTGGAAGTCGTAAAAAAGCTGCAAAAACTAAGGTTTCTTCCACTGTCAATTGTGGCAAAAGTATATCATCTTGTGTCACAAACCCGATCCTGTAAAACGAACAAAACATGCTTGACATAAGACATGATAAACATCGGTGTTTTGTCTGGTATGATGGACTGTACCGTAGTAGATATACTAAAGAAGAAAAGAAGTTAATATCTTATAAATTGTATTGTTGAGTCCCCTTTAGTCTGTTGAGTAGTGTGTACCTTCTCTTGAGAGCTGGATTATATGGAATATCATTGCAAGTAATAGTTCCCGTAACATTTTCGTGCAATCTCCCACCTATTATCTTTAACAGAGTTGTTTTTCCACTACCGGAAGGCCCCATCAGAGCAAGAATCTCTCCAGGGCCAATGCTTCCAGTTATACCTTTCAATATCTTCTTGTAGTTATCATGTTCAATGTGCAATTGCGAAGCTACCTTCGACAGGACAGCCTTCACAGGATTATTTGAGGAACCTTGAGGAACTTTGACCTTGAATTCCACATCTGCAAACTGTATTGAAATGTAAGGTGGATTAGACAGTACTAGATAATATACTTCATAAACATATCTTCTATATAGAAAAAGAATGATCAAACTTTTCCTTCCAAAGTTTGCCATGATAGAATCTACTACTCTTTGGTAAAAGGGAAATTGCAAAAAATGGGTATATTGATAAATACTAACTTAAAAGTTTTGTATGTTGTACTCTCTGAATAAGCGAGACTTGCCTTAAGAAATATCGGGAGGGGCCGGTCTTTACTAGCATTCGGTATCCCGTCCTCAATATCAATCTCAGAACTCCTATTTGTCAAGTAAGCTTGAGACATAAACTCTATACTATGACCAAATCCATTGCTGCCTGCAATTTGCATGGATCCCATTGTTGGAGGAGATAGTGACAAATCTTCAATTTCATCTTGCCTTCCAATTTGTTCCATGTTCATTAATTCTCATGTCAATCTATGAACCTTAATCTTCCTTCCTGTAAACATATGTTATATAGAGCATGTTTTGCTAAGTAATTCTTGTTTTCAAACATGTTTGGATGTTAAGCAACTTTCTATCAAAATAATTATCTTGGTCTCAATTTTAACCAATAAAAAAATTACTTATTTACATATGAGTAAACTTTTTAAGCTTATCCAAACATGAAACAATAGCATACCAAAGTTCTGCCTAATGCACTGAGAAAGAATGTTAATTGTTGGGCAACAAGCTTTTTATGGCTAACTGTAGAAATTTAGATGGCTTGCTTTTAGTTATCACACTTTTGGCACTACATTGACTTGTTTAATTAGGGTTTTTGACAATCTTTCTTCTGTTAATTTAATTTTTTTTTTTTTTTTGTTCATTTATTTTATCTTCTTGAGGCAGGGTGGAAAATGTTCAAGGAACTTGATTTAACTCGTTTCCATGTATTATGCAATGAACATAAAGTTTTTTAATATCATAGAAAAATTCTTTTACTAATACAACTTCTCGAAGTGTATGAATAATGAGATTACTTTGCAAAACTAAATACTATTGAGTGATCGATACTAAGATAGTACAGTAAAGAAAGTATGCAGTTAAAGAAATCAAAGCTTTGGCAACGTACGAGTTCAAAAACAAGTCTTCGACATATATGGTTTAATTTAGGGAATTCAAAAGAGCCATAGACATGATTTTCAATTCTTTGTTTAGTCTCCTAAATTATTTCAAAATTTTCATGTCATATCTAATTTATGTAACAACTCTACGCCTCTTTAACGCTTTCTTAAAATTTAAACACGAAAATATAGTACACGAAACACAAGTTTTTCACCTTTTTCCAAGCAGGAAAACCAAAGCGATTTGAGTTTTTTGGCTCAATATGAAATATTTTTGTCTATTTAGATTGTGTTTTATTTTGAAGATCTGTAATTTTATGTTAGTCGACGTTAAGTTTTAACACGTTGATGTTAGATTTGAAGTAGATGTCTGTAAAAGAGTTATAATTTAGCCCTTGTTTGGCCTCCATTACGTGGAAAAATTAATGGGTATAATAGTATTTTTTGGAAAAATAAGTAGTTGAAAAAGAAGGAAAAATTTTTGATTTACGTGTAATATTATTTTATGGAAGATTGTGTGGTTGAAAATAGGAGAGAGAAAAACGAAATGTAATATAATGAAAATTAATGGGGCTCAAACGGGGGCTTAAATAGTTTTATATTAAAAAGCTTACAAAACTAATTTTAAGGGCAAATATGAAATTTCCTCATTTGTGAAATTCGGGAAGTCCAAGTGCCAACAAAACGACGGCGTTGGGTGAACAAATCTCCGTCGCCATACCATAAACTATTACCACGGTCCACACCGTGCGACTGCAACGAGAAATAAACAGT